ATTTATTTCACAGAGAGAGACAGCGAGAGAGGGGGGAGTGGGAGAGGGAGAAGCAGGCTTCCCGGTGAGCAGGGAGCCCGATGCGGGGCTCCATCCCAGGACCCTGGGACCATGACCTGAGCTGAAGGCAGAGGTTTAACGACTGAGCCACTCGGGTGTCCCTTGAATATTCCTTGAAGTAGTAGAGCAAAAGCACACCTGAGAATTACAGCATTTGGGAATGGCTGATTTACTGCACTTACTCAAAACCTCACCTACCAGTATGCTAGTTAATGTGGCCCAGTTCGTAAGTAGGCAGCTCCTGGGACACAGAAAAGAAACGTGGCTCAACTGTGTATAAAAAATGATCTAGAAGGGAGGGGGGTGGGGGGATGGGTTAGCCTGGTGATGGGTATTAAGGAGGGCACGTTCTGCATGGAGCCCTGGGTGTTATAGGCAAACAATGAATCATGGATCACTACATCAAAAACTAATGATGTACTGTATGGTGATGAACATAATTTAAAAAAATGATCATAATCCTCCCATTGCAAAGTGCTTTTCCCTTTGAAAGTGCATGTCTCACCTCTACGAGGTAAACATTTCATCCTCACCTTATAAAAGGAGAAAATGAGGCTCAGAGAGATCAAGTAGTTGATCCAAAATCACATCTTGGAGAATGCCAGAGGCAGGATTAGATTCCAGGTCTTCTGATGCTTTTCCAGGACTTTTTTCTCACTATGTGAACATGATAATAGATACATCTATGAAAAGAAGGAAGAGAAGAACATTGTGCCCTACATACTCCATTCAAATTTCACAGCAAAGGAGAAACTTTTTATAACTGATGTGATATTGTACAGGTGGCCCAGAATTATTGGACCTATCAACCTCACTGCCTTCTTCCTCTCCTTATCTCTCTATAAATCAGCATCAAAAGTACCAGATAAGAATCTTCAAATTTTAAACATTCACAGACTGAGTCTGAATAAGGGCCTCTAATTGTCGGCGACATATAATGTTACAGCGGCAGGAATTGATTCACAGGCACTGAGGCTGATGTGTGGGGCTGAATCTCTTAGCTGGTGAGGAGCCTCTCCTGCCACCCAACATTCAGATACCAGTGTGGTTTCTTTGTTCCCACTCATGACCGCATGCCAATTCTGTGAAGAGAACTTACACTCTAGAAAGATATTCCAAAATTTGAGGATTTCCAAAGGTCTTGGGACATATTTCTTACAAATATCAAGGGATGACTGTATTGGATTTTCCTGCTTTAATTTTGATTTAGTAGCTAGAAACTCAAGAGTAATGTTGGTGCACATAGTAGTAACTAACTCATCTCAGATCCCTAACACGTATGTCCTCCTACTTGGATTCTGACCAGTTTAAAAAAAAAAAAAAATCATTGCTCATTTTTATCATTCTCTTTTGTGTTTTGTTGTAAATGGTCTCAAATCCTTTCTCAAAGTAGGGAGATTTGAAACCCCAAATAGATGTTGAAACTAGGCTTCCTAGAAAGAATCATTGATCTTAGTCTGGCCCTGCTATAATGTCAGAACTGCTAAAAAGAGTTAAGGACAATGATTTCTAAAAGACAACAGTAAATGTTTTTTGATGACTTAATCCAAATTCTGAGTCTCTGGTGGTAGCTAATTATGCTTTGAGTGACACCTAATGGTTGAAAGTCACTGTCCCAACTTCTTCCAGAGGACTCAGACCAGTGTTTCTCAAACTTGGTTCTTGGACCATCCTCAGAATCATCCGGGTGCCTGTTAAAAATGCAGGGGAATTCCTGGGCCCCAAGCTATTGAAGTCTCTGGAAGTGGGCACCGGGGAGTCTGTATTTTTCACAACCACCCCAGGTGATTCAGACGTGTAGTCGAGCTTGAGAAGCACTGATTCAAGTGCTGCCAAGCCAGATATCCACACAGGACTGTCAGACCTGAAGACACCCCAGGGAGTTAGAAGGCGCCAAGGCGAAGGGATGGATTAGGTCGGGCCTTAGCAATGCCCACCCTGATTCATCAACGAGGGAAGGAGGTGGGGTAAAATAAGCCTGGGGGCGGGAGGTGAACACTGAACCCCCGCCCCCCGGGGGTGCAGCCGGCTGCCCTTCTGGCAGCGAGGGTGGGAGTGGCGGTGGCTTGGGACCTCGAAAGCAGTCGCCCCTGGCCGCCTGCTCTCGTCCCTAACGTAGCGAGAGGTCGCGGGAGCGTGGAAGGGCTGCGCGGCGCGGCTCCTAACGCCTGTCTTCCTGTCCCACAGACGAACCCAGCTCCTGGAGTACTCCCGCTGCCGCCTCCCCAGGTCTGCCGGAAGTAGGCGTCTCCCTCGAAGACGTCCTCTCTCCATTCTCTCCATCACATCCAGCCCCACCCTCCGACCCTTCCCACCAGATAGGCCCAGACCCAACTTGGGATATCAAAAGGGAACACGACGTTAGGAAACCAAAGGAGCTTTCAGCCGGCGGCCAGAAGAAGCAGCGCCTCGGGGAGCAGAGGGAGCGCTCGGCGAGCCCGCAGAGGGCCGCCCGGCCGAGGCTCGAGGAGGCACCCGGCGGCCAGGGGCGGCCCGAGGCCGGCAGGCCCTCCTCGGAGGCCAGGGCGCCCGGGCCCGCGGCGGCGGACGCGGCGGACGCGGCGCGGCCCGGCGGGAAGGAGGGG